TTCGAGGACAAAAACGCGCGCGAGACATAATAAACTGAGTGTTTTTATTGGCCGTCCTCGCGGAACGCGAATTCACTCTTATTCACACCAGACTTATATTTTATATTGGCCCACATCTCTCGATCCCCAGGGCGTGAAACGTTCTGTCTAGGTGTATAAGCGAAGATTCGAAATCAATAACGGATTACAAGCCGATTGGTATTTGCTAGTTAATTTCGAGTTATTTCCGGTTTTCTTCAACTCACCACCGGTCTCCCAAGCTTATCTCCTAGCTTTCACGTCATTTTGTTAGGCCTTGTACACACTATACTACTATGGTCGTGGCACGTAGCGCTCTTTTTGCTGGCTGGCTGCGGTTTTCCAGGTCTCAATGAATATTTTTTTGTTGACACTTAGCTGTACGTTATTGATTTCAAATTCTTCGAGTATACATATTGTGTATGCTATTATCTCGTCTTTAAGTAAAAAACCAAACGGTATATTATACAAACACCGCAGCGCGGCCGACAAGGTTCTCCCCTGTAAGTCTCGGATAGCTTGTCGATTAATCTTAACGTTATTAAAAACTAACAGCCCACAATCGATTATGCTGAGCGCGAATCTGCTGTTGGAAGACCGCAGTGACAAACAATGACGCAGGTGTCGCATTTTTTTCCCCTCCCGCATAGTAATTCGGTGACTTGGCGTTCCGCGCTGTTGCGTTTTACACAAACAATGACGCGGATTCGAGCCGCGAACGTGGTCCGCCTCAAAAACCTCAATCGGTCTTAAAACTCTTAAAAAAAAAAAAAAAAAACAACAAAATAAACGATACAATCGTGACGTGGTCGCCGATATTATAGATGGTCGTAATCGTGTAATATACTACGTCGGGTCGTGGCAGTCCGAGAGTTTTATAAAATAAGGAGAATAAGGAAAAACGTCGATGCGGAAACACTCTTCCGAAAACCGAATACAGTGGAAACGACAATACGTACAATATTAGATTACAATGGGCCGGACGTGCGCGGCGGTGCCGAAATCCTCGTGTACGCGCAGTTCTAGAAGAAGATCGCAATGCGAACGACGCGGAAGCGTCAGAAGGAGGTCCGAATCGGAAGACATACGAGCATCGAACGGGGAAAATCGGTGGCGAGGTTGCAGTATGTCGGGACGGTCCTCGGGGCCGATTTACCTAAGAAGAAGAAAAAGAAGGAGACCGCGACGTGAGCGAAGTAAACTATACACGTGGACCGTCTCGCTATGACATCGCCGTGGCGATTTCTCGGCGACGACGACGACGACGACGACGACGGTGGCGGGCATAAAATACATTATAGTATTACGTACGGGCAACATAATTTATCGTGTCGAGTGACGACGCGGGAAACGTACGCACGGGGTAGGGAATCTCGGGCCGCGGACGGCGACGCGCCGCGGAGAGGACGTCCACTCGTCGGGAGGACGCGCGTCACATACGTTTCGCATTGTCGCGGCCCCGTACCGCGCGGCACGCAATAATATTTTATTATTACGTAGCGCGTCCGCAGTGTACCGGCCGCGCGTATAATGCGCGCGCTGTACAAAAGTGGCGTAACGTCGACGCCGGTATACGGACTTGAACGCGCCGGGCGGAGAGAGAGAGAGAGAGAGAGAAAAACAAACGAACCAACGCACGCACGCACACATATATAATAATAATAATAATGTATAGAGAATATTATTGTACACACGTATTACGGTCGGACGGTCGGAGTATACGTCCGATACGCGTACGACACAGGCATAATACCGTGTACACGTGTACGCGGGCGGCCGGTGGAGCGAGGGGGGCAGACGGAGGAGACGGCGAAGAAGACGAAGAAAAAGTGACGATGTCGCGAAAATAGTCACCAATGAACGAGCGTACGTAATAGATAATCGGCTGACAGCCCGCCGCCACGGTCGCCGCCGGCCCCATTGAAAAGCGTCTTCAATAAATTTATCGGGACAGCGTCTGTCCAGGCCGCGCGCACACAACGCCGCAAACGCACACGCGCGCACGCACGGCGCACACACACGCAGCTTTGATAGATCATCGTCAGTACGCGTGCGCGCGCCACCAATTGTCCGGTGCTCATACACACGCGCGCACACAAAGTCGGCTCGGTGTATTATTATAACGACGGCGGCCGCGAGACCGTATCGCGGAGCGGACGGCGGACGGCGGAGAGAGAGTGAGAGAGAGAGAGAGAGAAAAACCACACGCCGTCGGACAGCGGAGAGAGACTCGAGGCTGCGGCGGCGTCCGTGTGTTGCCCGGCAGCGGCGGCGGCGGCGGCGGCAGCAGCACATTACATCACGCGGTGTAATTGACATGACAATGCGATAGGAATAATTTTTAGCTTTCACCCCGCATGACATTGTCAATTATATGATCTCGAATCTTACATGACGTTTCTATAGTCTATCGCGTCGTTTAGTTTTCGTTTTTTTTTCGAAAAATATATATTTTTTCGTATTTTTATTGCCCGTATAATGTGCGCGCGTGTAACGGTCATATTACTACTATTATTATAACTCTCGCGGTTCGCATTCCCTCCGCGACAGACGCGCGTATCACTGAAACGCACCTACCCGTCGATTGTATTGTGCGTTCCCGGTGCCCGCGCGCGAAACACAAACGGCGAACGGCGGCCAGGTTTCGCCCGAGACGCGACTTACAACCGTCTAATTACGATCGCCGATTAAAACCGATAGTGCAATAACACGACCTCTGTCGGCCGGACAACCGCCGCCGGTCGTATTATGTTACATTGTCCCGGGGCTATCGGGGACGCGGTGGCGTTTGTTTTACAGCGTTATTTATACCGTTCGGAACGGGGGCCCGCTCGTCACTGCCGCCGGCGTCGGCGGCTACACCGGCCGGCCGGCCGGCCGCCCGACAACAAAACGACGACGACGACGCCCGTACGCGTAATACGCGTCACCGCCGCCGCCGTGACGTACGCGGACGCGCGTACGTATTCGTATGCGTACGTCGCGGCGACGGACGGTCGCCGCGGGCCGTTCGTACGACGGCTGCGGCGCGGCGCGTAGCGGCAGTGTCCCCCGTAGTGATGCGCCGCGGCGGAAACGTACGAAACGACGCGGTTCAAAACGCATTTCGAATGGACTACGGCCGAACGGTGCATTGTCGTCACGGGGGCCCGGGACTCGTTGCGTTTAAAATCCGTAAAGAAAATAAACCGCCCCGACAAACGTCGAAAGAGCTCTGCAGAGAGCACTTTAGAAGTGCGTTGAAAAACCGAAAACGGTACGAGGGTTTGAATCGTCCCGCTCTCGCGGCTTTGGCCTATTCAATACGGTTTCCCGGCACTACAAAACTGAAGTTGGCCCGTACGGGGACTTTCGCGAGGTCCGAACGCGTTTGCGTTTTAAAATCGCGGGATTCCGCGTGTACGGTTTCGGTTTCCGATTCGTTTTTCACGGACGGAAACGGACGGGAAATCCACACCGGGTCATCGGTATACCGATGGGTAGGGACGGGTGGCTAGGGGGCGTTCGCGCCGCCGAGAGTTTTAATATTAGCGGCCGCGGCTGTCGGTCATTCAGTTGCCACCGGGTTCCGGCGACCACCTCCCCCGGACGGACGGATCAATAACACACATCAGCGGTGAGCTGGTCGCAAAACGGGTCTCACCGTCTTTCCGTTACGGTTTTCCGGGGAGTTTGCAGGGGTTTCACCGCCCTCCCCCGTCCGCCCAACGGTTGCGCCCCGATATATTTGTAATATCAACGAGTTACGTTATTGTTACGCGGGCGCATTAATAAACCGACAATTTTTCTGTTTTGTTTTCGTTTTAGCACGTTCAGTCGGAAATGAAACAAGAGTGCAAGTGTCACGGCATGTCCGGCTCGTGCACGGTGAAAACGTGCTGGATGAAGCTGCCCAACTTCCGGTCGATCGGCGACAACCTCAAGGACAGGTTCGACGGCGCGTCCTGGGTGATGGTGGGCAACGCGGGCGGGCTCCGGCGCACGCGCCGCAAGGACAACGCGCAGAACAAGCACAACGAGAACGCGCAACAGAACGGCATGCAGCAGCAGCCGTCCGCGCAGCAGGGTCAGCAACAGGAGCATCACCGCCGCGGCGGCCGGAACAGGTACAGCTTCCAGCTGAAGCCGTACGACCCCGAGCTGAAGGCGCCCGGCACCAAGGACCTGGTGTACCTGGAACAGTCGCCGCAGTTCTGCGACGCCAACCCCCGGCTGGGCATACTGGGCACGCACGGCCGCCAGTGCAACGAGTCGTCGATCGGCATGGACGGCTGCGACCTGATGTGCTGCCAGCGCGGCTACAAGACGCACCAGGCCATCGTCTCGGAACGGTGCAACTGCACGTTCCTGTGGTGTTGCGAGGTCAAGTGCAGCGTGTGCTCGTACAGGAAGACGGTAAGCACGTGCGTCTGAGCGGCCGCCGAGAGATCGAGCGAGAGAGAAGTAAAATATTAAAATAAAAAACAGAAAAAAAAGAAAAAAAAAACGTCCGCTATATATTATAACAACACACGAATCCATTCCATTCATTCATTCCTATAATATTATTACGCATACACGCGTACCTATAATAATATAGTAGGTATAATTTTTCCTTTTTTTTGTTTTTCGCCGTTTTGAAATTTCGACAACAACACCGATTCCGATCGTCATTAACATTATTATTATTATTATTATTATTAATATTATTATTATTATTATTTTTTTTTTTTTTTTTTTTTT